AGGTATAATGTTTCAGTCTCTGACACATGGTAAACTCGGCTCTTCCTGCCTTTTCAGGGCTTGACACCTTCAGCACTGGAGGGAGGGATGGGCCCAACTGCCCATTAGACGTATAATGTAAAAGTCAAAAGCCTGCAAAAACCTCCTAGAATGCATAAATCATTAACCGTTTCAGTCTCTGACAGTGTGTGCCAGCTAAGGTCGATACCAGTGTCCTGGAATCAAAGGAGGTAGCTCATGCAGAAAAATAACAAGGCTTGTCTCAGAACAGCAAAATTTGAAGAAAGCAGAGAGGGAGGTAGCAAAGTTACATATGTTTAATATTATGGGCAACCACTATGGTAAAATGCTGAGAATTGCCAGAGACCATATGTTGCAAAACCAGTGCTGATTCAGAAAAAAACCTAAGAAACTGTCTGCACAAGATTGACAATAATTTCTTTCAGCCTTTCATCCTGAGATGACGACTGCTTCTTTCAAAATTAAAGCTGTAATGATACTCTGAGATACAGCAAGAGGTGGTGACGTTCCTATTGTTTGTCCATTTCAGCATGCAACAGGACATGTCAGACTTGTTCTTCTTCCAATGCGTGCCTTACTTGCAGAAATGGCCAGATATTGAAGCATGATGGGCACTGTGTGGTATCTGAGTACTGCTCTCCCACTGAGTTCTATGCTGAGGAAACTCAGACTTGCAAGTCTTGTCACAAGAAATGCTTCCACTGCTCAGGACCCACTGAACACCAGTGTCTTAGCTGTGAAAATAACCGCTATCTTCTCAGTAAGTGTCTCGCTCCTGCCTCTAGGTTTCATTCTACACCCAAAGCACAAAGTAGGAAAGTCTCTGTCACATTTATGCAATATCTAGGGCTGCATCAAACAATAAATACTGTAAAGTTGACCTGACAAGTAGGTAAATTGCACAGAGAGAATTTCTTCTGTGATGCTACCTGTAAACTCTTTATGAGACTGGGCTTGCCACTGAGGCCAAAGAAGGACTTATAAATAGCAATAAACTCCATGGCTAAACAAAACTCATATGTTTAATTTCCTTGGTATGTACTGTTCCTGTTTTTTCCTGGCCTTAAATAAAAAAAATAGAAGGCTATCCTTAGCTTCTTTTTTTTTGTTTGGTTTTATTTGTTTGTTTGTTTGGGGGATCTTTTTTTTTTGTGGGGGTTGAGTTGTTTTTGTAACTGTATCCACAAAGGGCTCACTTTTTCATTTTGACTTGTTTAATCCGTGCAGAGGTCTGATGAGTAAAGAAATACATAAACAGAGCTGTTAAGAAGTGATATATGGATCCCTAGGTCAGTATCTATTGGGTGGCTGAGGTGCAAAGCTACTTTTCTGATTTGGAGCAAAAGACTATACTATCTCAGAAACTAAATTGTAAAAAGCATTAAATCCTAGAACTTGAAAATTGCTTCTTTGTATATTCTTCTAAAAGTAAACAAAAATTTTAGATAACAACTGGGAGAAAAAATTATTAAATTATCTTTCATGCAGGAAAAATCTAAAGAGAACGTGGATTGAAACTGAACCTAAGCTTTTTGAGTCTAATTCTAATGCAGATTTTGCATTCTTAAATTTCTGAGGCCTTGCATCAGACCCGTCTTTTTTATCAACACACCCAGCTGCTTTGCACCATTACAATTGGTAAAGCTAAGAAACATCCTGAAGTTGAGAAAGAAATGCAAAAAAGAAAAAAAAAAACCACAACGCTCCCCCTGCAAAACCTAGAAATAAATAGAAGTATCTTCCTTTGCCCAGTTGCAACCCAAGCAGCAAAACTATCAAGACAAGCTATGTAATAAGTACAATCAACTCATGAGTAATTACTGCTCTCTAAGCTTGATGCACTTGCAGCTTGTTAGATTAGTCTTAACTTCTCATTCAGGACTCCTATTTTAAAGACTGAAAAAAAAGTGGGATCTACCTGGTATGCTTGGCAGCATTACAGACATTTAATCCCATTTAAGTAGCAGCCACAGACAAGGGTAAAGACCAGTAAACAAATGTCATTAAATCTCAGATATACCATCCAATTTGTCATATACACAAAATGCAATGAGATTGATGCTTAGAGCAAAATGTAAGGAAAATGGTAATGCAGATAGAAAGTTTCCTTGTTACTAGTGTTGCCTAGAAGTGGCACTTAAAAGAAATCTCTAAGACTCAATTTGTGAGTTAGAAATCAAGCATTCTTTACTTGGCGCCAGGTGCATTGGGTCATCATTTTGCCAAAATGCACATCGAGCTATCTTCGCTACACCCTATATGTCAGCCTTACATGATTATTCATTTTTTGTTCCCTGCATTCCTGTTACATATTCATGATGCTTCCCAACATTTATTATCATATATGCTTAGCCTTATAAGGTCTCTGAGGGTCTTCATTGAGGGTCTTGGTGGTCTTTCCTGTCTGGAGCCCCCCAGAGTTCTAAATTACCTCCTTGTGAACTTCTTCAGGACAATTCACCTAGTTATACAGTAACTGGGTGTTGCCTGGCTGGCTGCCTCAGTTCCCCTCCTCATTTTTTCTTTAAGTCACTTGGCTCAGCTATCTGTAGTTTCTGTATTGTAAATACTATCAGTTCTTTTGCATCTCTAAACCTCAACATCACTGGGATAAGATTTCTTTTGATTATTCTGAAAGAGATCACATCTTCTGTTTATTATTATGTTCATACATTTACATTCCCCAAAGTAAAAAACTTATTTGTTCTGCAGAGCCTGCTAATATGCATAAGACACCAAAATGAGGATTAATAAATTAACAAGACTTAGAAGAATCAAAAAATATTTCTATATCCCAACATTTTCTTTTCTTGTTCTGGTACATGTATATCAGCATCTCCTGTTACAGAGTTTGCTCTAGCACAACTGTATGAGATGTTTTATAGTAGCAGATGCTGAATATGATGTGTTATTCTGCATTGTTGTCTGTGCAGATACAACCTGTGTTGAAACATGCCCAGATGGATATTATGCTGATAGTGATGAGGGGCAATGTTCTGCATGTCACAGTGCCTGTGTCACTTGCACCGGAAAATACAGCTCACAGTGCCTTTCCTGCAAACCGGGTTGGTACAGACAAGGAAAAGGATGCGTAAACCAGTGTCCATCAGGGTAAGGTCCAAGATCTTTTGCTAAGAGCTGCACCACAGAGAGAGCTTTGAGAAATTAGATCGTTCAGCAATATTCTACTTCAGTAGAACTGTGTTTTGTTTCAGGTGAAAATTTCTTATGTTGTCCCAGTACAGAAGTGGTAGAAAACCTCCCCTCACAGTAGAAAACTCTCAGTTGGTGCCCAAGTTGGGACCATTTTGATATGGTGTGGCCATATCAAAGGTGATCTGAGGCTATATCTATACAGAACAGTGTGAACCAGAATATGAACTTATCTGTCCATCAGCTTGAGCACAGGAAGCAGTGCAACTTTCCTCAAGAACCTTTGCAGCTTCCCCTGAAGTTTTGATGAAGTTACTGGTTTTTTGCATTGAGTGAATGTTTATAATGGGTGATAATAAAAACAACCATTAAAACACCTCTCAACTGAGCACTCATAATTCTAGACAGAAACTTCTTTAATGAATCCATTTAAGTTCAAAATGTGAATTCAGTGTGCTCTTGTGACTATATCTCAGAAATTCAAATTTAGAAAGTGGACCTATGATTTCTGTTTCAGGTCCATTTAGTTTAAAAGTAGAGTACGATTGCACTGGCTGTTAAATTATCATCCCATTAAACTGGAGGTCTACAATGACCACATTTTAGCAAAACCCCAATGTATCAATTCTTCTTTTTACCTGAGAGCATAACTTAGGTGAATAGAGTCAAAGCAGAGTTGAGCTTTTTTGAGCCCTGCCTATTTATATACTCTGTGACTGAATTCACTCTAGATTTTAGAAAGTATTGCTTTATACACCTTCAGTTTACAAAGTCTTGCTCTATAGCTGAACTCCAATAGCCGAGGAAAATTAAAAGGAAATTAGTTCTATTTTCACTGAGATTGCAAGTAATTACTGTGTTCACATTAAAATAATTTTTATATATTGATGTAATCACAGTAAAAAGCTAAGAATTAAATATGTTTTGGTTTTCCTGTCGCTGCTGAGCTTTATGCAAAGCTATGACTATCTGATCTGTTTCAGGTATTTTGCACAAAATTCCACTGGATTATGTAAGAGATGCCACAAGAATTGTAAGGAGTGTACGGGACCTCAACCCACAGATTGTCTTTTATGTGATACATATTTCTACCTGTTGCACTCGAAGAATGAATGTGTTAGCTCTTGTCCTCAGTACTACTATGAAAACAAGGACAACAATGTCTGTGAAAGATGCCACCCTTCCTGTCTAACTTGTGAAGGTAAAAACTTATGCTCCACTTTGAGCAAAAAAAGTGTCACCAAAACACCTGTAATCTCTCTTCCAAGATTTGGAAACACTTCACAAAGATACATTACATGTACAGTGCTACAAACCTGGCAATGACCTAAGTAGCTACAGTGGGTGATGCAGGCCTCTCCCTGGCCCTAGGTGACTTGCTGCACTGACTGTTCCCTGCTGCCACCTTACTTTTACAGTATTGAACAACTGAGATGAAAACAAGGATATGAATTCCTGCCAAGCGGTCCACAGGGCTTCCTCAAGCACAGAGCACAAATGTAAAGACAGTCACTTAACAGGAAGGGCTGGGACTGAGTTCTGTTGCCAAGTCAATGAAGGGAAACAAATGGACAGTGGTAATGAATTTTCCATCAGCCAAGCCTCTCTCAAAGATGCCCATCAGCTTCAAAAATGGGCTCTGTTAGTTGCAGAGCTGGACTCATTTCTCACACAAATACTGAATAATAAGTGAAATATACCTTAATCTCTGAGCCATCCTACTGTATGCTACTATGTAAAAGTCAAGCCAAGGAACCTAATTCCAACCACACATCTGTACAGTCTGCAATGGGAAGAGTAAAGACCCATAGAGCATATCTTTAGGGTAAAAGAATATATATATATATATATATATATATATATATGTATGGTGACACACTTATGTATTCAGTTTCTTAGTTTTCCTAATTAATCTGTTTCTGAAGCAAGCAGCATTAATCAGTTAGTTAGGAGGGCTAATAAGTATGGATTTTGTGAAGGACAGCTTTTGGCTAAGGTTCTCCACAATTTTACTTCAGTGCACTGATCTAATTGATTTTCCTGAATGTGTCAGAGCTTCCCTGTACAACTGATTCCAGAATCATCTTTTCATGAATATAAAAACACATAAATATATTTTGTGGGCACATAAAAAAACAAGACAAGGCCCAAACTTCTTCTAATACCAATCTCTTTCTAATACCAAACTCTTCATGCTGAACTCCTCACCAGTGATTCTTGTTGTTGACAAATACCCTTTTGTTTTAGTGGTAGTGGTCAGTATGATTTTTAAAGGAAATTAGCTGACAATTTTTCCTGTTGTAATCTTGTTTTTTCATTTGTCCTTCTAGGAAAGGGAGCATTCAGCTGCACATCTTGCGTATGGAGCTACAGTTTATTAGGTGGAATGTGCAACTCAGACTGTTTTGTAGGTGAATACAAAGTCCAGGAGACACCAGGACAAGAGGTACCCCTTTGTAGGCCTTTTCTGCTATGAACCTTACACAATGCTTGGAACAGATTGCTCTTTGCTGAGTTTTTAAGTGTGCTTATCTTTAAGTATGTTTACTTGTTTGTTGTCTTGGCTGAGGAAGCATTGTTTCTCTTTCTGGGGTTGTCAACTATAGAGTAATCCTCTATAGTCAACAATGATATCAAAACATTGTTTGATGATATGATATCGTGTGAACAAAATCAACTATATTAGTGATAGAGCTAATATCACTATATATTTCAGTATAAGTGAGATTTGCCCATGGATTTCTGATACCATTTCTGTAAGAAATCACTTTGCATTTCTGATTGAGAGCTTTGCTGGCAGAAACCTCTAGTGGAGGGACAGGCTAAAGTTAACAGAGCTGTATATTTAGAAGAATAGGACTACAGTTAGATTTGGGTCTGTGCAACAAGTCTGGGCCCTCCAGTTTCCACATTTCCACACCAACTGCCTTCCAAAAATGTTTATTCAAGAGTATATCGTGAAGGCATAGCAGCTTGCCTGAGATGTTGGATACCCTGGAGTCTCTGGCCTGGAATATCCCCTTAGCATACCAGTGAGAAAACAGCCTAAGAGCTGGGGACCACAGAGGTCTGCAGGTCTTTGCAAAAGCTTTGACTCTAAGAAATTGTGATCTGCTATGATCCTCCCATCTTGCACAGGTTCTTCAATCCAGGATAAGCAGCCTTGCAAGTCTGACAGCAAGTTTGGTGAAAGTTTATTAGAGTTTCCAAATCCTCACAGTGGGGTCCTTGGTCCCACAGCAGAAAAATAAAGTTTTTTCCCCAGTCAGCCAGGAATTGTGAATGCTGGAAACCCTGAAACACCTGACCTCAGAGCATTCTGCAAGGCACATGTGACCACAGTGACCTTTGGTGGTCTTTTTACTAAGAGGGTCCTAGGAGCCTATCTGGGATTTGAGAAGAGTATTTGAATCTAAGCTGGTTTTGTAGGAAAGAACCAACACAATCTAATAGAAATCTGTTTTGCTAGAAAATTTCCAGCCATCTTTATTCCTTATTTCTGCTCATTCTCCGGTTAGAAAGAAAATGCATTCTCTCAGCTGTCTTTTTTTTTTTCTTTCCCTGGGATATTTCATGTTGCTTCTTTCATGTCAGTTACTTTTAATGATACTCTTGAGGAACCTTCTGGAAAGTCACTTTACCATCATTACTGCCCAACTACCATAGATCTGCTAGCGTGGGACTAGTAAAACAAAAACACACCTTCTGGCCCAAAGAGCTTACAGTGTGAATAAACTTTATCTTCCTGTCTAGCTAGGTGAGATCTCTAAGCTCCTACAACAATTTATCCCATCTCCCTACAAGCAGACCACTGAGAACTCAGGAAATAGGAAATTTTACATTTGCTACTGTATTTTGCCATTGACACTCATGGTGCCCAGAGATGACCAAACAGATAGTGAATGACGGGACAGAACTACCAGGTCGGATCCCAAGAATCCAAAATGAAAGGTGCATTACTTGTGTTCTGTGTTCGAAGGAAGATGAACCCAAGTGTGAGAAATGTGACAGCTCATGCACTGAGTGCAAGGGACCTGGTCCTCTCAACTGCACAGTCTGTCCAGCTAGCATGCAGCTCTACCTAGAGGAAAGTCGCTGCCTGCCCTGCTGCAGTGACTCTGGTCCAGCAGGCAACACAGAGTGCTGTGACTGCAGTGAAACACAAGGTAGGACCATGCTGAAGAGCAGTAATAGTGCTGAAGGGTTTTATGGCTGATTAGGCTGACATTTAAAAATCAAAAGGGGAATAGACCAAAAATGTGCTGCTGAGCTGATGGCAGTGTGTTTCTACTGCTCCATCACCAGAATGGGAAAGGCTTTACAAAAATAACAGCAATCTCAACTGTTGCTAGAGATGGCAACTTCTCTCACTCACAACCATTATGTTTATATTTTATAAACCGGGTGACTGAGAAGTGCTTGCTTCAATGGTAGAAATCTGAATAACTTCATTTGTGTGCCTGCCAGCTTTTCTGCTTCTTTATGATTATTTTGAATCAAATAAAGAAGAATAGGTATCTCAACAGCCTTGTTGACATCCTTACAATATCACAGCTACAAAAATACAGTGGTGCTACTGGAAAAGTAAGCTATCTAGTTAAATGCTTTTAAAAATGTACACAGTCCTAAACACTGTACTGGGCTTTTTAAGACAGATATACCACACACACACAAACGCAAACACATGCACACAAGTTCATTTAATCTTTTTTATTTTCTTTTTAACTGCTGTTGTAGATGACTGTGTATTACAGAACACTGTACCCCCCAAGAGAAAAAGCAAAACTACTTTCTTTGTTATCACTTGCATTTTGCTTCTCCTTGTCATTGGAGCCATTGTATTCATCTGGAGAAGATCAAGAGCCAAAACCCAGGCTGTCAATAAAGGTGGGTATGAAAAACTGACAAATCACTCCAAAACCTTTCCTTCCTGTGTGAACAACTACCACAAGAGTCCCAGTTACCAGGAGGATCAAGTGATTGAGTACAGAGATAGAGAAAATGAGGATGATGATGATGAAGAAGATGACATTGTATACATGAGCCAGGATGGCACAATCTATCGCAAATTTAAATATGGACTTTTGGAGGATGATGAGGAAGATGAACTTGAATATGATGATGAAAGTTATTCATTTAGATAAGTTTTTACTAACTTACTAATAGTAAATTGGTCCTGCTCTGTTGTTTTTCCTATGAAATTACAGCAATTTAGTTAAGTATGTTTAGTTACTTGATAGCATGCTGACCTCCAAATTTTTTGCTAATAGTTATTGTGAGAGCAGAATGGTTTCTAAAAACACTTTTTCGTAAAGCTTTGCATAAATCCTTTCTAGACTTTTAAGTATCACTCCAGATATAGTCTGGTTAAGAGATTATGTTTCTGTGCATTTGTGCGGAGAATAATTCCTTTCCCAATATGTATTTGTGTGCATTATAAGTAATACAGACTTTACTTCAAACTATGCACACACACTTATTAAGAACCTTGTCAATCACTACCAGAAATGTGATAAGCAAAGTTAATATATCTACCTTATGAACACCACTGGGATAGGGTGACAGTAGTTTACTACTTTGTGATTATAGTTACTCAGAAGTTCATGATAGAGTAGGCACTTGGCTGACTTTACCTAGGTTTTCTTCACTGGTGTCACCTAGTGCATCTGTGTTCCCTGAAGCCAACACATTTCTCTTTATAATCCTTATAGCACTCTTTCCAGGGAATTTGGGCATCTATGATGTGAAGTTTTAAGATTTCTGATGATGACTACTCCTCACAACCATATTGTATTCACAGTTTATATGAAATATAACTAAAATATTTTATATATCAGCCTCTGATTAAAATTTATGGTGAGTGTTTGTCAACTAATCTTTCATTGTACTGGATTTACCACAAAGGGGAGTATTGTTAATAAGCATGGCACACACATACACATGCCCCAAGCAGCTTTTCTATTTCTATTATAAATGGCTCAGGGTGTTCAGAAAATGGCAAAGGGGATATTTAGCACTTATTTGATAACTTAAAAGAACATAGAAATATGATTTTTAATTATTATTATTGTTATGATAAAACATCATTTTAAAGAAAAGTATACTTTGTGGACCTTTGTTGTGAAGGAATAAATTCTTTAACTGTCTCAAAAATGCTGTTATTTGTTAAGTTTCATTCACCTTCAGAGTTCCTTTAGATTTCCAGTGAAAAGAACTGCTCTAGAATGATAAACCAATTAGATTTAGTGTCTACAAAGGAATTGTGTGAAAATACCGGTTTTATGGCTCAATACCTCAGTGGAATTTTTTGCAATAAGTATTCCTAAAGACCTCAAGATAGTTCCATCTGTAAGATTAATGAAGTTTTATGGTGAGGTCTGAATTTTAACCTTCTAGTCATTTCACCTCCAGTAAGGGAGAGGAATGTCATGTGACTTCACAAAAGCTGAAACAAGTAGCTATGTTTATCAAAAGTTGTACGACAGCAAGGTACTTTGGAAAGATGCATGTTCTCTTTCTGGTGGTTTGAGACCCCCAAAATCCAATTTCCGAGCCCAAGCCCCCCTCCCACAACTTACCCCGGTGTGAGATGGGTTTTCCAGACACAACACAAGACTCAAGATGGGGGGAAGGGAATTATATTACAATTATTGCACAAATAAATATTATAATACATTATATACACAATCTTAACTATCTCTCCTATGATAAAGAAGTATTTACATTGCATCAAATCTCTTTTCCCTCCAATAAAAGTCCAGAAGGGAAGAAGGGAAGATCCTTTCCACTTTCAGAGCAGCAGTGTTTCTCTTCTTCAATGCAGCAGTCGTAGTTGGATTGTTGTAGCTGGAATCTCTCCATTACACACAAGGGGGTCTCCTCTCACCCCTCTCAGCCCTTCGGCTCCAAGCAAAGGTCTCTCTTCCGTGGATTGCGATTGCCAGGACAAAAGCTCGCCTCACCACGTTATGTAATGGGGTGTAAGACCCCCATGAAGGTCCCTTCCTCGAGGGGTTGAGTTCTCTCGAGTCAGAACGTTTAGGACAGCTTTCAGTTGAAAGTCTGTGCCTCCAGTGTTCTATCACAGCTCCTTTGCTCTGTCTCAAACTGCCAGCGTGGCAGCAGCGGGGGGGCAGCCATCTCCTCCACATTCTGTCTGGTCGTCCTGGTCCAGCTTCCAGGATGTCTCTGAGCACTCAGCTCTTCTCACTCTCTAGCTGCTGCTGCATTTCGGGACTCCCTAAGAGTTTGGACGTCCACCCCTCCTCTTCAGGAGGTCTCTGGGTTTTGGGGAGATTTGATTCAGTCTTACCCCAAAACTGTCTCTGTAGAGCTTAGTCTTCTCTCTCTCTCCCCATCAGACATCTCTGTGTCTCTCTGCTTAGCTGTATATCGTCTCTGCTGCTTGTTTCTTATCTTGGTTTTCCGCCATAGTTCTCCGCTCAGTGCTGTCTCTGCCGCTGCTCCTTCTGCCCACTCACAGAGGAGAAAGACTCCCAGCTTTTCAGTCACAGAACTCGGCCCAGTTTAGCACTGTTTCCGAGTTTCTACACCCCCCAGCCGGGGCTGGGGGGGCCTAGCCCCAGCGGGGCTCCTGGCCCCTCAGCTCCTCGTGGCTTAGAACATGGCCACTTCTTCTCCAACTACTTCGTCCTCCTTCTTTTCCAGTCTGGTGTGATATGTTTTAATTTTGCAGGGGCACTGATTGGGTCAACATCAAGTGACACCACCCCCTCGGGGGTTACCATTTTTTTAACTCCAGGGGGAAAAACACTTTTTCACTTTAAGTTTTGAAAAATTGGAATGGGAAAAAAGGAGTGAAAAATCAGTTTGAATGATCATACTACTATCCTGCTTTCCTAAACTTGTTTGGATTAACAATATGCTTTATTAATGTTGCTAGTGGCTTACAATGCAATTGTAAGAATTTGCTTTGGCCTGACTTACCTCCTCACATTTCAAAGGCTTATTCCTAGCTATGCCTGAGCAGTCTGAAACCATTGTGATAGATGTAATGAGCATTTAGTTTATGGGTTCTTAGATTATGAAATTATATTATTATAAAATAGGCATATAAATCTGGCAGGTCAACAAATGGTTAAAACAACATGCTGTAGTCAGGACTTTGGTTACTCAGACCATGGGACTTGTTTTGCCAAGCCTGGTTTCCTTGGAGGCTGATGGAGTCCATCTGACATGGAAGGAAAAAAGTGTCTTTGGTTAGGGACTTGCCAGATTGGTGAAGGGGGCTTTAAACCAGATTTCTTAAGGGAGGGGGTCATCTATCCATCCCAATCTTGCCAGTTAGATGCCAACACCTGTAATGGATGCCTGAAAGAGTGCAATGGCATTCCAGATACTCCAACCGGCAAATCAGCTTTATCCGAGGCCCAGCTCAGATGCCAGTACACAAATGTATGTAGTATGGAGAACAAACAAGAGGAACTAGAGACATGCACATACCTGCAAGGGTATGATATTGGTGCCATCACAGAGACATGGTGGGATGGCTCCTATGACTGGAGCATTGGAATGGAAGGTTTTAGCTTTTTAGGAAAGATCACCTTTAAGGTCCATTCCAATCCCTTTAACATGCTATAATTAACTTCATCATCACTTCATGAAAACAGTTTTTGACATTTTGTTAACCCAAAAGGTAAAAAACTACCAGCAAAATGCAAATAAGGACTCATTTTGTAAAACTTGCAAGTCAATATTTCTGGGGAAAAAAAAAGGGGGAACTCTTAAATTTTCTCAAATGCCAGTGTCTTTAAAATGGCAGATAACTGCCTTGAAGGTGACTCAGTCTTCTTAGAAGAGCAGTAAATAACTGATGAAATAAGTTAGAAGGATATGATAGATGAAAGAGAATCACATTCAAAGTTATTATATTTTTTTGAAGTTAAAGTTTCAAAATAGTGCTCAAGGAGACACAAATTTAGCAACCTGTATCACTTTACAGTGTTTACAATTAAAAAATTCCTGCTAAGAGTCCACGAGAAGACCAAGAAAATAGAAGTTTGTTACTTGACACAAAGAGGAAATAATTCAAGTCACACTTCTAAAGAGACTTCATGGAAAACTGATTACAACAAAGGAAGACAGTGAAAAACAGGCACTTGGCACACAAAGGGAATACTGAATTATTTTATGATCTTCCTTAGTCTGAATTCCTTACACTCTTTCCTGAAATAAAGGCAGAGAACTTCAAATCCAGATTTTGAATCCTGCAATTCCTTAGCTGATACAAAACCAATTCTCTTTTCTCCTGCCTTCTTCTCCACTCACCACAGTGAGAAAGATGTCCCAAAGGAAACAAACAACTTTGAAAAACAGAGCTGTTATGGTATCTCTTCCACTAAACTCATTAATTTTCTTTTAATCAGCCCAAAATTCCTGTTAACTTTAGCAAATTTCTCTAACCCTCTTGCTTCTCAAGTTCTTTTCCGTCTCACGCCTTCCTCCTGCACCTCTTTCTTGGCTGTTCTTTTTCATTCGTGGATTTTCTAAAGTCCTTCAGTCTCCAACAATTTTACTTTCTCTAGTCTTTTCTTAGGGAACTCTCTCTCTTTCAGTAGGAAAGCTCTTTCAAAAAGATCTCATACAAATTACATCTCCTGCATAGTTTCACTAACCACTTACCTCTCATGCAATCAAGTAACTTGATTTCAAGGGCAAGTGTAAGCTACCAGGGTTCTTTACACACTGTTTCCACAGAGTTACATAAGCAGGGAAAAGCTTTCTCTTCCCTGACTCTATCCTGAAGTTTTGCTAAAAAGGTGGTGAAGACCAAGACTCCTTCATCAACAGTCCGTTCCCTGATGAGACTGCATTCTCACTTGTATACCATGTATTTTCCCCTGGGTCATAGAATCATAGAGTTATAGAATACCCTAAGCTGGAAGGGATCATATTTTGAGGCACTTGGTTTTCTCATGAAAAATTACATATGTTTCAAATAC